CCTAATGCCACAACCTGAGTCTGATAGAAAAGAAGGTTTGTTGGTGTCCAGGCTTTGAATTCATCAGTTCACTAAACACATGTCGACGAGCCTCTCACCACTCACTTTATTAGGAACACCATGCTTAAACCTTAACGCTTCATGGTCCTGATATCCCGCCACTGATCAGTTAAGGTGGACTGGGTATTTGTGTATTTGTGTACTTGGCAGATACACAGAACTCAAACTTAGACGTTTCCTCCATGGACAGAACTGTGACGCTTTATCCCGGGTGTCCCACGAGGACGAGAGAGAGAGAGAGAGAGAGAGAGAGAGAGAGAGAGAGAGAATACAGCAGCGGGACGTGTTGGGATTTGTCATTCAACAAAGGTTAAACCCCACCTATTAGTGCGGGGTCGGAGCAGCACGCAGATAATGATTTCCTGTTGTGTGGTGTCAAAAAATCAATAGCTGTGCCGCGATGTGCTCATTTGATATCAACAATAGTCTTTTTAAAAATCAATTAGGGAGGATAGAGCAGAGCATCAGTGTTGGGTTACACCTTTTTTTTTTAACCCTTGTTTCACATTGATATCCAGTGAGGCGTCTGTTTGTCCAGGACTCTGTCATCATGTTTGATTATTCATGTCTGACTCTTTATTCCCTGAGCTCGGAGTGGATGGAACCAGACGTTCGTGTGTAACTTTAATTCCAAACACAGATTATATTGAAAAGAAGCTGTTGAATTGGTAAAAAGGACATTTAATAAAACCTCTCAGCTTCTTAACAAGCCTGTAAATCTCAGAGATATCAGCTTTAGGTAAGAGCACAGTTTTGGATTCCTCCCAAAGTTGTGGACAGTTTCCACTAAGTACCATGTGTTAATAATATAATATGACAGTGAAGATAAGAGCCCACCCACAGATTTAATTAATTTCCTTCCAGGTTGACGGTACCTGCTGCTCTGCCTGTTAAAGTACTGATGTGTCACCGAGTCAAACCAATATGTTGTGTTGTGCTGGTTTTCACATTCGATGCATGAAGATTAGTTCACCAGAAATTCACGTGTTGAGCTCTCGCTCTACTTTACCGTTTTCCAACTGGTTGAACAATCCAATGCTCTTTTAACAAAAACTTTTTCAATCCTCTGACTCCACCTCCACGAACCGTTTCCACGGAAAACCTTCAGAAATGTTTCGATTGATCCAAAAATCCTGTAACGACATCATCAACTCTATGATCTGTTCATAATGGCCGCCTGCCACCTTCAGCTCGGCCCCCCCCTCCCCCGCCCCCCCCAACACTCATCAGTTAATTGCTTTAGTCATTTCATTAATGACAGACTGATTGTTTTATTGTGTTGGCTCATCAAAGAGGCCTGGACGCCCCAGTGGCTGCTGAAGCGTCCGCATTGATAAGCTTTTGTGTGTGTGTGTGTGTGTGTGTGTGTGTGTGTAGCTGCTGACGATGTGTGTGTCTGTGTGTGTAGCTGCTGACAGAGTGTGTGTGTGTGTGTGTGTGTGTGTAACAGATTAGTTGTGTTTACATGCACTAACATTCAGTAACCAGGTGACTCTCACACAGGTAACTACAATTATTACTATGTCATTACTATACTACTATTACTGTGTGTGTGTGTGTGTGTGTGTGTGTGTGTGTGTGTGTGTGTGTGTGTGTGTGTGTGTGTCAGAGCTAAATCAGTGACGCTGTGTGGACTCTGTGGAGCTGGTTCATAATGATAACCAGCCCTGTACTGTTTGGGTCATCTGCAGAAGAACAGACGGACAGAATGACGTGTGTGTGTGTGTGTGTGTGTGTGTGTGTGTGTGTGTGTGTGTGTGTGTATATGTACATGCACTACAACAACAATGGGTGTAGTATCATACAGAGCAACCGTGGTAGTTGCAGCCAGTGCAGCCATATTGATAAGGAGCGCCGGGTTACTCTGCAGGTCTGTGGTGGGCGGGGGGGGTAATTAACAGGGATTAGGATTGTCGGAGGCCTCGTGTTACCCCAGCGAACACAGCCGACCTGCTGGGATTAGCAAAGTGCACCCATTAAGCAGAGGTGCACTGATAGCACTTTCTCTCCACCAGCGTGAGACTGTTTTATTAACCAGACTCACTGACACCGACCTGTTCCACTGTGCTGACGCTGCCGGTAATTAACCAGCTGCTCTTCAGCATCTGAGCATTTTCTTAATCAGATCATCAATAATCATAACGATAATAAGAGCTGAGAAAATGAGCTGAATACTTTCGGCCTGTAGCGCTCTCACTAAAGAATAAGAGATTAACACCCTGCTCACTCTCATATATATATTAGATCTCAGTGTTTGAGACGTTCGACGTCACTTGAACTGATTTTTACACCTTCTGTGTATTAACTCTGTGTATCTGTGTGTTTTGTGAAACGAGGCGGTCGGGAACTAATTACATCAAAGTTTATTTCACACATATACACCGGTTGTGTTGGGTTAGCACTGCTCGTTGGGTGGATGGAGATCCCACTTGTGACATTTGCAAAGTTTCTCATTGTGAGATGAATAAAAGATTATCTTTTTTTAAACCGAGGGGAAATAACCGCCGGTAGTAGACGACGCCGTCTTCTGTGTCCATCTCTTCCAAAACTACCGGCAGCCTAACTTTCAAAATGAAACCAGACAAACTTTTGAGCCCGTTTAACTAAAAAAGAAAAGAAGCGAAGCGTGAACTTTGAGAATCGTGAGTAGCTCAGCGAGTCGTGGGAGCAGCAGGATGAACATGTGTTCGTTCACCTGACAGTGTTTGTGTCGGACTTGTTTATAAGTTAATATCTGTGTTGTCTCTTTGAGGTCAGATCCTCACTCTGTTGCACAACGACGGTCAATGGAGCCGGTCAGGTTGATAAGAGTCCCATGTGGTGATGACCGGCCAATGGCGCGGCAGCAGACTGGACATTGATGGAGTGCGGAGATAAGCAGGGTCAGTGTGGCCAAACTGAGGCCCCATAGGATGATAGGAGATAGGATACCGGGCTGACAGACGCTGGACTTCAGACTCTGCTGCCGGCAGGTTAGACTGACTGAGCAGTCATGTCTGCGGTGGTGCGTGACCTCGGGCTGAAATCTGACGCCGACTCAAAGCTGGAACATTTGAATCTGACGGCTATCGTCTGCTCGAGGCCCCGAACGCAGCTCACCAAGGCCTCCCGGTTTTTTTTAACGTGGTGATTTTGTCAACAATACTTGGGAAATGAAGCTTCACCCAAAACCTTTAAATTAAATATGAAGCCCAACCTGACCCTCGTCAGGTCAGCTCCTGTTGCGTCTGGCATCAGTGTCGCGCTCTCATGTGGCCCCGGGGCACGATAATGAAAGAAGCGGGGGGGGGGGGAGCGGTGACAGCGTGACATACGGTGCACCGTGACTGGCAAACAAGGTGTGACGGCACCTGTTGGACAACCTGATGCAAGAGCAAACAGCGTGGGAGCTCACGGAGCAGAAACCACCAGGTCAACTGGTCACCTGCACCACACGGCAGAAGAAAGAGCTCGGTGAAAGGTGGTGGAATCCAGCATCACAACACACGTCTGAGGAGATCACAACACAGTATTATTATATATAATATATATATTATATAATATTTAAAGGGACATACATTTCTTTCACTGTGTGCTAATTATTGGGGTTTCATAGTTTCTCAAGAAACAAGAATTAGGATCCAGAAGGAGTCGAACATCTCAGAGCTCGTCTTCTCTTTACTGGTTCCCTCATTTTTCATAAAACTAGAATCTTATTCTCCAAATCTCTCGATTCTGAGTGTGTCGTTCACGATGCCGCAGAGTCTCTTCCTGTGCGACGCCATCGATTCAGCCTCTCTGACTCCGACACATTATTTTCAACTGCTGTTTGACTGTTAAATGTTTTTTAACTCAAACGTCTGACCTCCCTGAATCCCGCCCACTTTCTTCCCTCTAACCACACTCACACTTCCTGCTCCCTCCTCCCCTCCATAACCCTCCTTACCCTCCACCCCCCCCACCGGCTGTGGGAAAGCCATTTTATCAGCGTCTGTCCGTTGTTCTCTGGTGGGGATAGATACAGAGAAGATAGATGAGTGTTTTGACATGGAGAGTGTTAGACAAACACTCTTATCAGGCCCGCCACTTTAGACCGACCCCCCGAAACAGTCGCCTGAACCATGGATGAGATGAGTGGGGGGGGGGGTGTGAGGCGGTGAGAGGACAGGGTTTTATTTTTTTGTCTTTTATTTTGTGTTTGTTGATCAGAGAGAGAACGAGACTGTTCTCAGCAGCCGGCCCAGAGGCTGCTCAGCTGCCGTTAATCCCAACGTCTCGTTAGTGTTTCTCAAACTTCTCCGTTTTCTCCTCAGATTTGCAGAAACTTTTCTAAAGTAACCGACAGCTGCTCCTCCTGCACTCCGAGCTGTCTCTTTTTCAAATAAATGAATCAGGCCTCCGTGCCTCCTGGCTAACTGGCTCTATCTGGGCTGCAGCAGGCTCAGACCACAGCCGTCACTGCCATTGCTCTGCACTTATCACTTTGAGGAAGTACACAAGAAGTTTCCCCCGTTTGAACCGAGCAGGACAGAGAGTGCTCAGCTCGTGTTAAACTCCCCCTGCTGTTGCTCTGTCGTCACTCTCGCTGGTCTGAGCTGCTGCTGCTGCCGGGGTTCAGGTCAAGTTCAAGCCACATGATGCTTTTGTCGATTGTTTGGCTAAATGTTTTGTAGCCTGTCAGCTGCTCTCTGCTGAACCTTGTGTTTCAGTCAGAGCTGAAGCTGATACTTTGATGGGAATTTGTGCCTCAACTCAACATCTTTATATTTATCAGAACAACAACATGTCTGAATTTGTCACAGAGTTATAATAAAAAATGAAAATGAAAGATTCTGTAAATGCTCATAAGTGCCCCTCCATCATTTGTCACTTCCTGGATAAAAGCAGCGGGTGAATGATAGGGTCATTATCACTGCGTGAGTTCAATCTGAAGGATGAACCGTCCCTCTGCTCCTCCACAGATGACCTGGAGTTCAGTGAAGAAGGCGGCGAAAGCAGGGTGGTGGCCGGCAGGGACCTTCACCCGGAGACAGCGTGGGGTCCTTACCCGGGAATCGTCCAATCAAAGGGCAGCGCAGACGAGGAGGAGGCCGAGGTAAGAGCCGGAGCGTCACCACTGTCCAATCAAAGTGTTGATTCACGCTCAGAGAGGATCTCTTCAATCGTTTACATGATGAATACATGATTTTAAGTGTGTAATGACGCCACGATGTTGAATCTGTGAATCTGAGTTTGTCGACCCGTCGTCTCTGATCAAGAGATCATGACAGTGTGAGCAGGTTGGTATTTTAGAACAGACGTCTGATGGTTACTGTTTTATTAAAACAAGCGAAATATTGAAATTGTTCCGTTTATCGAAGAAGAGAATAGAAACATCTAATCTTGATCATGTAATTCACAGATTCAGTAAATAAGGTAGAAGTTGAGCTCAGTCAATCAATCAGCTGCGTTTCTCGAGTTCCAGCTTCTCTAATGTGAAGATTTCCTGCTTTTTAAT